CAGTAAAAACTTGGGAACATACCTAATGTCCATCACCCAATGAATGGATGAACAAATTGTGGCATATCTGTAAACTGAATGCTACTCAGTGATGAAAGGATTGAACCACTGGTACATATAACAGCTCAGATAGATTTCAAAAGTATTAGGCTTGGTGAAAGTGGTTGCCAGGGCTGGAGGTGGAGGGAGGGGGTTGATTTACAAGGGCACGGGGGTATTTTGTGGGTGATGGAAATGACTTTTATCTTGATTGTGGTCGTTACATGACTGCATACGTTTGTCACAAATGGAAGTGGGTGCTCAAAAAGGATGAGTATACTCCGTAAATTTCAAAAACACACATAGAAAGTTCTTAACCTTCTTCCTCATTAAAAAAGGCAAATTAAAAACATGACCTTTTTGACCCCACCTCTCAGTCTGGCTAACATCAAAGTTTTGGATGTTGTTGTCAATGATTTGGGGAAGGAGTCACTCTGAAATCTCATGGGACAGCCTCTGAGGGTAGTTGAGGAAGATCTTTCACATTTAAAAATACGTGTACTTCTTGAACTGGAAATTTCACTTGTAGGATTTTTTTTTTTTCCTAAATGTAGGACAGGTACAAGGAAACAGTAGTTGATATCACTGTTTCTCATAGCAAAACACAGGGAACAGCCTCATTTGCCTCACAGAGGATATCAGCTGTGGTGCAGGGACAGACTGTGAGGTAGATAAATTTATGTGCCAATAAGCAACGATTTCTTAAGATTCTGTTAAATGAACATAGTGTACAAAGTGACATGTACAGTGTACTTCTGTTTGTTTTTAAAAAGCTGTAGGTATTTATACGTGCGCTTGTGTGTGCATACACTGTTAGAGATATTGGAGCTGATCAGGATGACATTTCTGAGATGATTTCTGCTTGTAACCACTGCTTCCAGTCTGTCTCCTATTTTTCTCAATTCACGTGGTAGTAGGTTCAGGAAGAAATACTCATGTTTCACTTTCCCCAGAGGCTGACTTTCTGTACCTTGGTCTCCTCCTCTAGCTTAGGTCCGTTTACCATGCATTGCAGTGGTGAGGTCGCATGGTGGAGAGACATGTACTGAGTTCAGAAGAAAAGTGTAATTACGTCCTTGGCTCATATTCGGATGCCACCAGGAAGCTCTGCTAGGTGAAGGGGGAGCATCAGTAAGGAAGGTGTGGAAATTGGCAGCACTTTCTGAAAACGAGGTGGTTTGGGAGGCTGTCTTCAATTTAGTTTGGATATTAAATTAAAATGGACGTCCTCAAGTTATGAGCCTTCCCTCTTCGGTGCTATAAAAAGCCCTTTAGCCGGGCTGTAATTTGACTCTCCTCTCTGTAATGTTACACAATATTCCTATGGTTACAGAGCCCGAATAAGTGGAAGCTAATCATTAGTTTGCTAAATGTGGTCCCACGGAACAGTTCATAACTCCCAGACCTGCCAGCTGCTGCTCGTTTAGTGTCGTGCTCTCTCCTTGGGTAGAAGTTGGTTTGTTCCTGCGAATAATGTACAGTAACAGTTGTCTCGCATCCAGGAGCCGTGCGCTATGGCAGCCCTCCATGTGGCTCAGGGATGGGGATGGGAAAAAGGTCAGGCTAAGCAGAGTTTTTTGGTACATACTCTTCCACAGGAAGAAACCATTAAGGGAGTAAGAGATGACAAAGCAAGAAAAGAATTAAAGCGGCAGACGTTTTGGACATTGGGGTTCACTTTTCAGAAATTTGCTGTGATAGAACTCTGGAGTTGACTGTTCTGTGACCTTAGAAATAAAATTGCGCTCTCTAGGTTGTTCAGTGTTTGTTCCGTGTGGCAAGACAGACTTCATTAATGCCCAGGGTCACCTGCAAAGGCGTGTGCTGCCTTTAAGGGCCAAAGAGTTGATAAGCTGGGGTCTTTTCTATCTCATCTAATATGTATCAGGGGAACATACTGAGAGCAGTCAGTACTGGCTGGATTTGTGCCCTTACCTGGGGATTAGAGCCTAAATCCTTAATCTACTCATGATTATTTGGCCTCTTCCTACTAGAATGAAAGTGGGTTCTTTCCCAGTAAATGGAAAATCCGTTGTGCCCACCTGTGACTCATTCCTCCTTCCAGCTGAATGGCTGTTGACTTTGTAGGAGAAATCTCTTTTTCCTTTGAGACTGTCCAAAAAGAGTCCAGTGGCTGTCTCTGCTCACCTGCTGTATCATTTAGGTCTCTTTGGATTATTAAAAAAAACAAACCAAACAAACAAAAAAACAAAAACCTGACCTTCCCTGGCTTAAGGAAAAAGGGAATTTATTGGCTCATATGACTAAAAAAGTATGGCGATATATACAGACTCCACCCATATCATCCAGACCACCTGTCTCTGCTTCTCTCGTCTCTGGCTTCGTCTGTCAGACTTGACTCTGAGGATCTAGATGGTGACACCTAGCACAGTTGGATAACCTTGCAGGTAGAAGACCAACAGGGAATAGCAGACAGGCTTCCCCTTGTCTTCCAGAAAGGTCCTGAAGTTCATTCTGATGCAGCTGGCTTAGGTATTGGGCTAATCCCTGAACCAGCCATGAGGCCAGAGAGATGCTGGGATTTGATTGGTCTGTCTAAATCTTATCCTGAAGCTCCCTGGAAGCTGGAGCCTTCCCCTAGGCACGTGCAGTAGGAACCAGAGAAGATAACAGCGTGATGGAACATGAGGCACTGTGCAAAAGGAAACAGGAGCGAGCATTGGGAGGCAAATCACTAACTAGTCTTGCGTATGAGGAAGCTGGATTCTGTCTTCAGTTTCCTGAAAGACATCACTTCCGACCACGTCAACAGTAGTAAGGTGGGGCCCTATTGGTTTGTGAAATCATTCATACTCCCCAGCCTCTGCCTCTTATTTTTATTTACCTATGGGCTTCCCAGGAAGACTAACCATAGGAGTGGTCCCTCCCTTAATAATACATGCTCCTTTAAAATACACACCTTGATTTACTAGTCTACACAAGAGGAGACAAGAAATGATAAGGATCCATTGTAATTATGGTGGTCCCCATTGCACTTCTTGGCTTACTGTGGTTAAAAAAGTACTTATAAAAGTAATGGAATACCACTTGCTTACACCAGACACAAAAATAAACTCAAAATGGATGAAAGACCTAAATGTAAGACAGGAAGCCATCAAAATCCTCAAGGAGAAAACAGGCAAAAACCTCTTTGATCTTGGCCATAGCAACTTCTTACTTAACACGTCTTTGGAGGCAAGGGAAACAAAAGCAAAAATGAACTATTGGGACATCATCAAAATAAAAAGCTTCTGCACAGCGAGGGAAACAAGCAGCAAAACTAAAAGGCAACCAACAAAATGGAAGAAGATATTTGCAAATAACATATCAGATAAATGATTAGAATCTATAAAGAACTTATGAAACTCAACACCCAAAACACAAAGAATCCAGTGACGAAATGGGCAAAAGACACGAATAGACACTTCTCCAAAGAAGACATGCAGATGGCCACCCGACACATGAAAAAATGCTCAACATCACTCATCATCAGGGAAATACAAATCAAAACCACAATGAGATACCCACCACACCTTTCAGAATGGCTCACATTAACAACTCAGGCAACAATAGATACAGGATGTGGAGAAAGAGGATCTCTTTTGCACTTGGTGGAATGCAACCAGGGTACAGTCACTTGGAAAATGTATGAGGTTCCTCAAAAAATTAAAGTAGAACTACCCTATTACCCAGCTATTGCACTAGTAGGTATTTATCCAAGGGATACAGGTGTGCTGTTTTGAAGGGACACATGCACCCCCATGTTTATAACAGCACTATCCACAATAGCCAAAGTATGGAAAAAGCCCAAATGTCCATCGATGGATGAATGGATAAAGGGTGTGTGTGTGTGTATACACACACACAATGGAGTATTACTCGGCAATCAAAAAGAATGAAATCTGCCATATAACCACGCGGATGGAACTGAGGTATTATGCTGGCGAAATTAGAGAAATACAAAAGTCATATGACTTCACTCATATGAGGACTTTAAGAGACAAAATAGATGAACATAAGGGAAGAGAAACAGAAACAATATAAAAATAGGAAGGGGGACAAAACATGAGACTCAGAAATGTGGAGAAAAAACTGAGGGTTACTGGAGGGGTTGTGGGGAGGGGGTGGGCCAAATAAGGTGTACTCAAGGAATCTAATTCCTGAAATCATTAAGGACTATATGCTAACTAATTTGGATATAAATTTTTAAAAATAAAAAATAAAATAAAATAAAGTAATGGAATAAAGTCATAGTATAGAAAATATAAAAACGATTATAGTTCTAACACTTTAACCCAATCACTATTTTAATTTTAGAGTATTTCCTTTTAGCCTTTATTCATATAAGTTTCTTACAAACTTTTAAATCTTGGTGTGTTTTTTTGTTTTTGTTTTTTTTGTGTTTTGCTTGATATTGCATGATAAGCTAGGCATTGTCCATAGTGTTACATGGTTAGCATTATCATGTAAATGCAACATAATATTCCATCGGGGAGACATGCCAAAATTAATCATTCTTCCATCATTGAACATTTAGGTTATCTCCTTTTAAATTTTTTTCTGCTGTTGAAAAGCATTAGTGTGTATTGAACATTTCTGGGGTATGTAACTTAAATCTTGCTTTATCTTATTTCCTGAGGCCAGATTGTGAGAAGTGAGATTACAGCTTCAAAGGGTATAAACATTTTTATGACTCGATACATATTGCCAAATTGCTTTTCAAAACGATTGCATTTTATCTCTTCTGCCTCCAGCAATTTATGAGAGGATCATTTCACTGCATTTTTGCCGTCCATAGACATTTGCATTTTTAACCATGTTCTTAGCCCACAAAAAAATAGGTGCTGTTTTGGTTTTAATTTGGATTTCTTTGGTTAATAGGGAAGCTGAATGTTTTTAGTATTCTTGTTTTTAGCTGTATTTTCTGCTCCTCTTTACGCATGGTCTTTTCTTCTTTTCAGACCCCAAAACTGCTTCTGAGGCGGAGACTGATATCTGTGCCGAATGGGAGATAAAGACGATCACTAGTGCTTTGAAGACCTACCTAAGGTACGGGCTTTTCATTTGCAGGGCAGGGTGCCAGCTTGTTATCATGCAATCAGGAAGAAAGCAGTTTTATTTTCAGCCTCCAGAGAGCTGCTGGGTGGGTGTCTGAGATGTGGAAACAGCTCATGTGTGGGTGCAATTAGCTCAGCTGGTCACACCAGTTGTAAGTCCTCTGTACTTGATGGGGTGCCATTGTGCGATGGTGCCATTGAGTGATTCAAGAAGCTTTGCTTTTTATGAGAAGCCACTATGAGAATCAGCCTTTAACAGAACCTGAAATAGGCTCTTTCCTGAAATCCCCAAATACTCTATTAAGAAAAGAAGGAACCACATATCTCATTCTGTTGACAGTGTGACTACATGTCCTGTGTATTTTGGTGGTTTTGTGCCTTGTACAGATTGACTGTGTTGCTGACATTGGCCATTGAATATGAGAACTTAACGGGTGTCCCTTTTGACTCCTTCTCTTACGTTGGAAAACATTCCTTTATTGAAGAGACTCCTTTTCTTTTAACAATATATGTCCTGTTCGTCTTACGTCCCTGCCCCTCCCTTGGTTATTAAGGGAATGGGTGAGTCAAGCTGTCTTCATATTGGTTTCATGAAGTGACCAAAACTTACACTGGACTTGAAGGCTAGGGGAGGGTCCAGTGTTCAACAAAGAAGAGAACTACACTCATGAATTACAAAAGCATTTGTTCACGTTTTGCGAAGATTCATTTGGCTCAAAAACCAAGGAGAGCAATGGGAAAGGAATGAGTGATGCAGGTTTTATTGGCTATTGGGGAATTGATGGAAGGATCTTGAAGTCATGAGTAAGATGTAATGCTAGTGATGATCAAGAGTCAAATGAGGGGATCCAGTGAGAATAAAATAAAATCTGAGCCAAGAATAATTTATAGTGTGTTGAGAAGCTTATTTGGACTGTCAGAAAAAAGCTGAAGTTTACAGTTAAGCATACTCAGTAAACATATTCTTTAAACATTCATACCACAAATACTACCATTGTAGTTTATACAAAACTATATTACAGAGGTTTGTATTTAGCACTTACCTTGTGGATGTTGATAGTAATTAGCTAATAAACAGTAAGTATAAAACATTAAAAAAAAACAGATAAAATTTGATTATACCTTGCCTAACGTTAGGGGATCTAGCCCTTTGGCATTCTGGAGAAACACTCGGTCGTGAATTGGTCACAAAAACACAGAAGTCTCTCATAGTGTTTCCAGAGGAACTGATTGTAATAACAAGCTGCTGGGGAAGACAAGAGTTTAAGCACAGGTAATTGCAAATGTTTAGTTAGTTGCCTTTTTCTCCGACACCTCTTAAAAGGCTGTTGTCAATGGGTGAGTCACCGACTGAAAGGGAAATCTCTTGGTTTGTGCTAGACTTTCACATTAGCACTTTCCTGGTTGTAACTAGGAAACATAGTTGCATCCATTCCCTTTGAAAAGAAAGAATGAAAATGTCATGTGAAATCTCAGGACCCTTTCAAAAGGGAAACTCAGTTGGACTAAGCTGAGTTGCTGTTGTGTCCTTTGATCTTTGTCTCTATACAGTTGGGCAGCATCTAAGCCACGATTTGTAGTGTGATTGTTTTTATGAAGCTGACTTGTGTATATCCTTTTATCCCAGAATGCTTCCGGGACCACTCATGATGTACCAGTTTCAAAGAAGTTTCATCAAAGCAGCAAGTAGGTTTTCTTTTTGTCACAGTTGTAAGAGGGAAAGGGATAGATTTTTCTATTTCAAAGAACAGTCAGTATCCCAAAATAAATACTTTCTACCCTTTATGTTTTGCGTGTAAACTACCAACATACGTGCTCATGAGGTAGACACAAAATAGAGATGAAACTAAACTAGGATTGTCAAGGGCCTTGCTACCATGTTGAATTTACAGTTGAGAGGAACTTCAGAAGTGTGTTTTGGGGTTGGGGGGAAGAGAGAAAAGCAAGTTTGGCTTTCTAATTTTGATTATTGGAGTTCTAACTCCTTGGGTTGTTTCCCAGCCCTTGAGTAGCATTTTGCAGAATGAATCAGAGTTCGCACATTACCTAAATTGAGCATTGGAAGTGTTTCCTTGAATATGACAGCATTTATATAACTTCCCAGTCCTCTTTCCATCATGGCTTCCATTTACAGCTTATGATCATTCTTCAGCTATATCGTCCAGGCCCCTTGCGTCATATCACTGGTATTAAAATACATAGGGATTAGGTGCAAGCTACCCTAAATATACTGGAATCTGTCGACGTGGGGCAGGGCTCCTGTAAGGAGCAGTAAGATTCTCTTATCAGATTTAAATCTGGCATGAGTCTCCACCGTGTTATTATGTCGAGAGTCTCTGTGCCTCTCTCTGCTTCCTTTAAGCCTTCAGAGTCCATTTACCCTGGTAGCCACTACTGGCCTAATTGATTAATACCTAATGTTCTGATGGCCTTATCTTCTCAAGTTGTCTCCTTACAAAAGGGAAGAGAAAGACTTGAGAGAAAGCTGGGAGTGAAGATCATGTTTATGTGATTTCTTTCTCAGAGAAATTCCAAACCTGTAGCAGCCATTCTCTAATTAAACCTCACATCAGTCCTATAAATAGGTGTGGTGAGCACTATCAGTCTGTCTCCCAGAGAAATGAAGCCACTTGCCCAAAGTCAGCCAAGCCATGGCAGGCCAGGATTGAGATTACAGGCTGGCAGGAAGATTTACATATTTTACCAGCCATTTCTTCTACCAGGCTGGTTGGTTGTCATGCATGAATTGAGAACAACCGGACGTTACCTTTGATTTGTTGGATGCTATCTTGAGGCGTTGTTTTGATACTTGAGACCCTTATAATGTTGTTCATGTACAATTTGTTTATCATTTGACAAGCGCATGAAGTTCCTCCCTTCCTTGAAATGAAGCCGTCATTCTAGGAAGCCAGCTGCTACCAAGTTTCTGCCTGCTCTGAGTGTGCAATTGACTGGCTCCATTTCGTCCTGTCATCATTTTGGCTTGAATTCTCTGACGGTCATTTTTTTAATAAACTGCTACAAGAAGCATCATTAAAAACACTTCTAGATCTAGTCATGAGTGCGGAGAACAGGATCTTAAACCTTTGAGAAGTCCTTGGTCTCTTAGGGCCCAACCTTTGATTTCCTTTGATTTTGTCTTGCAATCTGATTTGCCTGTGACACTGATCAAATACTACCTCCTTCTTGCCTTTGCAGAACTGGAGAACCAGGAGTCTCGAGTCTCTGAAATCCATAGCCTTGTTCATCGGCTCCCAGAGAAAAATAGGCAGATGTTACAGCTGCTCATGAACCACTTGGCAAAGTAGGTTTGACACCGATTGCTGCCCTTTTATCACCCCTAGGAAGTTCATGTCTTAGCGCTAAAGCTGGTCTCAATGCTGCTTATGTTTCCCTCTCCCTCTATTGCATCAGGTATGTCGGAGGCTTAGGAAAGAAATGTGTGAAATGTTCACTGCAGTGGATAACAGCACCAAATGCCAGCTGATCTTTGCAGAGGAAGCTGGGGAAGTGCCCATGATATTGGGCCACTAGGCAGAGTTGTCAGGGGGCTTTTGCTCTTGTGATGATCAAGGGCAAACAGGAATATGTCATCTGAGATAACTGGGTCACAAGCAGAGTTTCCAGGAGTTCTCTGTCCTTGTGATAATCAGAGACAAATAGGAATATGATGTGGGTTTATAGACCTGGGATTTGGAGTAAAGAGGCCTGGGTTCTAGAGTTGATTGTTCTTAACAAGCCACTTTATGAGTACTGGACAAGCCACAGAAGCTCTCAATTCCTTAGTTTCTTCATCTGTCAGATGAATGGATAGTAGGCTCCCCTGTAACTACAATGTCACTGATTTGAAAAGTAACATGTATTAAAGCCTAGGGAATAAAGGAATTTGGCAAGTGCCCACTTCCCCTCCAAGATCATCAAAGCATTCTGCGAGAGGCCTGATTTTCCTGCTAAGAATATTTGCTCTTGGAATGGTTTTGAATTTGTGTACTTACTATAGCTGGACCCTTTTAGGAATGGCCTTCCTGACTTCCCTTGCTGTGTCAGTGACTACATGTATGTATGTTCTAACCTTCCACTGACTTTGATGAATGTCTTCGGAGACTGGCGTATTAAAAAAGACAGAGTGTAACAGCTAACTTAAACCATTAAGCCCTGCATTCTACTGAACTGATTGATGTGTTATACATTTGGCCCTTTCCCACACTTTCCTCATGCCATTAAGTCAGGTCTTTGGGATAAGTTGATAGTGAGCTGAGGAAGATTATACCAGTTTGTTTTCATATTTCTACCAAGCACTTGATCCTACCATTTGGGGAGAGAGTGTACGTGTTACCATGAAGATTTCTGCAGATCTTAATTATGAAGAAACGAGAGTGTTTAGCATGTTGGTCAGAAGCAATTAGGCAGAGTCCAGGTTTGCTCCATTATTGGTCACATGTGTTTCTTGCAGCGCCGTATTGGAACTGCGTGTTCAGAAACAATTAAGCATAGCAGAGAACATGCAAGCTTACAAGGAGAATGCCCAAAAAATGTCGAAGAATTCTGATGAAGTGTGTTTAAAATAATGGGAATTGGGCTTTCAAAAGTAACTCCACATGCTCGGAGATGACGGTTTGGTGCCTCTTCCACACGACCCAGTCAGGCATTTGTTAAATGGAAAAGCTCTTTTAGATCTTAATTGCAAAACTTTGCACACTTGAAGGGCCTTTACTGAAACGGGCAGTTCCGGATACTTGCTCCAGCCAAGTATGTGTGGGGATCCTCATGGCTGTTGTATGGCCACTAGGTTTTGAGCCTCCTGGGAGCAGCTGGAGGAGAAGGCTTAGCAACTGGCTGACAGCGGTGGGCTTTTCAAGCTGTGGAGTTGTGATGAGAGCTTAATTGGACTGAGTATGATGGAGAGTAAATGGTGATCCAGCAGAGCCAGTACTGAATTTGCCCATTGTAAAACTGCCCTGAGGACTGAGCCTGTTTATCTCTTACAGGGTAGTTTGCTTTCTCCCTCTTGTCCAACTCAGCACTCTCAACCCCATTAAATTCAGTTCATCTTTGTCCCTGAACTAACAAGGAATAGAACTGTAAGATGGAAGTGACAGCTTGACCTTGACTTTTTGCCTTCTAACGAATTTAAACCAACTTTGTTGTTGGAGTTAGTTATAGTATAGCATTTATGGAGCATTATGCCTTGTTTTTGATACCTCACTGTGATTTTCTTTGGTTCTATGGGGTTATGTGGTTTTTTGTTGTTGTTCATTTAATCGTTAAAAGAAATCTACATAGAGACTGCAGAGTGACTCAGAGCTGATGTTACAACACACAGACTCAGGTTCTCAGCAGGCTGTGTTCTTGGTCTCAGAAGACGGGGATTTAAAGTGTCTTGGAGGAGATGGGTATAAATGAGCATTGCTGAATCCAGTAAGGAGCATTTATTTAGTTCTGAAAAAATGCTTTGGCACCCAGAGGAGTTCTCAGATTCCACTTAAATGCTGTATGCTCATTTACAGCGCTGTCCCATTTTAAAATTGACCAGGAGAGGCAAGTTAACTTGGCATAAGGAGTTTGTCTGTTTAGTCCAGTTTTCTCAGTTTCAGATTTACCCTCGGATATGCCTCATCTGTTGTTCCCCTGGTCCACTTAACACTCAGCTTCCTTCCTAAGTTTTGGTTTCAGGGCTGGATCTCCTGGAAAACTCGTGTTCACTTCTCTCCTTACCTACCGTGTTTGCCCTGTGCCTCTCAGGAGTCTGATTCAAAGGGAAGACATTTTGTATTGTGTATTTCTTAGAGTGCTTTTTTGAAATACTTTCCAAAATTGATTTATTTTCACTGTGGAGGGAGAGTTAAGACATTTTATATTTAATCCCATGTAGAAATGTGTTCAGAGAGGATAAAAGTCTTAGAGGAGGATATAGTTACAAACTCAAAAAGCCTTCAAGCAAATGATTACCAGGGAACATCCAAATCATAGAGCTCTTGGGTTTGTTTCAGACCTCAGGGGGAACGTAAAAATTACAGGCAACTATGCACACATTTTTGTTGTTAAAGCTTAAATCTATGATAATTAGGTGTTTTCTTATTGGATCCTGGAATCTAGTATACAATCTGGAGTCATGTGCCTAGTCACATGCCCTCAAAGCACAGTTAGACTCACTTTGGCTGTGTTTACACTTGACATTGGGGGACCACACCCCTGCTCTACTAAATTGAACTCTGTTTGGGAATCGGCACATCTGGTTCATTTCCCAGGTAATTATGATGCAAAGAGTCTTTTGAGAACCACTGGCCTAGAGAATGGGCCACATGCAGGGGTTTTCTAGGAGAGAGAAATGGCACTGAGTGGAATGGATTGGGATTTAACCAAGTATTAGACTTTGGCTCAAGCATCCGACTTTGGCTCAGGTCATGATCTCACCATTTGTGGGTTCAAGCCCCACATCAGGCTCTCTGCTGACAGCTTGGAGCCAGCTTCAAATTCTTTGTCTCCTTCTCTCTCTGCCCCTTCCCTGCTCATGCTCTCTCTCTCCCCCGCCCCTCAGAAATAAAATAAACATTAAAAAATTTTTTTTAAAAAAGGAAATAGGACAAAGAACCTCCAAGAAGTGAGTTTAAAAAGGAGATTTTTATAATGAAATTACTAAAAAAATCCAGTTTTGATTTCCCATATGCTTACAGTTTGACACTGCATTAAATTGAGTTTCAGCAAATGACTTTGTTTTAAAATCATGCATAAAGTGGAGAGGGTGGGTGATGGGTATTGAGGAGGGCACCTTTTGGGATGAGCACTGGGTGTTGTATGGAAACCAATTTGACAATAAATTTCATATATTGAAAAAAAAATACAAAAGCCCTAACTGAAAAAAATAAATAAATAAAAATAAAATCATGCATAAAGCATTTTTAATAATAGAAAACTAAGCTGGTTGTGGGGCCTTGTGGAAATTAATCAGTCAACCTCTTGAGCCTCAGTTTTCTGAGTTCCCTTCTAATCATGTGATTCTGTGTCTTCATCAGGTAGAAGGGGTGGAAAAGAGAAGAACATCCCCATATTAGAATTGTACAAGGAAATAGGAGTAGATGAATAATAAAGACAAATTTCATGGTGGTTTCCTCATGTTTATATATTATGATGACTCCAAGTATCTTGTATATCCCCACACATACCATTCATAGTGGCTCATCGTCATTTTATTACAGTGTTTATGCTGCATTGGGAGGATTTCAAAGGACTCTCCATGCATCAGGAGTGGCTATTAAAAATACCTTTTCACAGCTGGTTTTCCCAAAGCACTTACTGAGAAATCAATCTCAGTCTCTCCTTTTTTGAAGCCACCATTCCTTTGTTGCTAGGATGTTGTCAAAAGGGTAGAGGCATTTTCTTGCTCCTCCAAAGAGGTAGTGTATCATTTAGGATGCTCTGGGATGTAAGAAACAAAATCCAATTCAAAATGGCTTAAACAGTAAAGGAATCTGTCTCTCATTACACAAAATCAGTCCTACAGGTCAGTTAATTTCTTGGTTCATGAAGTACTCAGGTTATTTCTATGGTCTTGCTCTTAGCCAGCCTCCTTGTGTTGGCTACGTCAGGGTCATAAGATGTTGTGTTGCATCCTTGCATATCTGTGGTTGTTCAGAAGCAGAAAGAGGATTACTTATTCTTTGCTTCTCTTTTTAAGAGCTATGATGATATTTTCCTCAGAAGTTCTCCAGCAGACTTCCCATCACATCTCATTGGTTTGAAGCAATCTCCAGCAAGGGGAAGGGGGCCACCGTGATTTTTTCTACCAAACAGGACTTACCTGGGCCATATATGAGAGGCCTGGATATCAGTATAAAAGCAGAGCTCTGAATCAGCAGTCCACATTGCTTACTGTAAAAAGTCTTGATAAAAGAACATTTGCAGTGTCTGGGTGGCTCATTTGGCTGAGTGTCCGACTCTTGGGTTATGGTGCCAGGGTTGTAGGATCAGGCCCTGAGTTGGGCTCCGTGCTGGGTGTGGAGCCTGCTCAGGATATATTCTCTCTCTCTCTCTCT